TATGTAATGATATACAGGGCGTTCTATTTAAAAAAATGGAATTTTGGTCTGTAGCACCTACACCAAACACCCTGTATATTTAAAAATTATATCAAAATATAGCTCTCATGAACTCCTAAAACTTTTGTATGAAAAATTTGTGTGTATCTCCTTCAACAAACCAGAGATTGCCTGTCACATAAAATGTGGGACACCCGGTATATACACCCTAGTACTTTCTATATATCTACCGGTTAAATTAGTCAACCATGAGCTTGAATGTCTTCTATACTGTTTCAGCATATCACTTCTCGCCTCGACTTTGAATTTGTGTACTGAGATTCTAAAGTTACTTTACTTACACGTTCTTTTACTATCATCTACAAATTTCAACCTTGCCTTCAACTCTAATGTTATTTTAATCGCACTGAATGTTTACCTTTTTATCTGCAAAAACATGTCAACATGAAGTTATTTTTCCTACAAACTGATGTTGTTTTAATATGCTCGAATCGTAAAACATTGAATGAATTACTTAATTTTTATAAGTGAAGTTATACTACAAACATTGCAGATATAAATATACAAATATCTTGGGAAAGAAAGCTTTTGGCTTTCCACTTCTCCATGTGAAATTGAATCTTCCAATGAAGTGAAGAAAGTAAATAATTAATTTCAAAATTGTGTCGTCCCGGAGCGCCAATTAATTTTTGTTTTATAATTTCATGATTTGTATTTTGGGAATGAAGAAATAAATACATTTCATGANGGACTTTTTTATCGAAAATTTCCTTCTTTTCAACGAGCTTTTTTCAAAATTGCCTAAATATCAACATTTTTTGAGTTATTAACGAAAAACTAAATACCATTTTTTTAAATCTTATTTTGTTAATAACAATTGCAATTTTTTACCTACACCAAAATCCTTCAAAAACATTTTTCTAGAGGTGATTCCGAATCGAATGAGCTGTCTCTCATATTTGTAGAACCTTTATCTCTATTTTTCATGTTTTTGGACTTGTTGATCATACTATTGGTATATCTTAGTCTGTTTAACTGAAAGAGGCTCGTAGCTTGGTAAGTTTACCGAATTTCTCAATTCCATCCACCCTTCAAAGAATTCTCAACTGAGATGGAAATGAATGAGTCTATAAATTTTCTAGATTTGGCCATCACTAAAATAAATAATTAACAAGATTTGCAATTTTCCACAAAAGATCTTACAGGGACATTTTCATACACAATTCATCTATACATCCATATCAACATAAAGTAACAGCGTTCAATAGTATGAATAGTCCACTTTCAGAAAGCAATTTTCAAATAGAACTGATTTTCATGAAACATATTGCTGTCAGCAACGATTACGAAGTGGATAATATTGACTCAATTATTTACAAAAAAATGCAGAAATAAGCTATGAACCAGGTCTGCCCATATTCGAAGAATGATACTGAACGTTACCTAACTCTAACTTACTTTAATGATCCTACTAATTTATCGCCCGTTATTTGAAAAGCACAGAATTTGACATAGCCTACAGAACAAATAATAATTGGAGTGGATTCATTCAAAACAATAAAGATGAAAATTCAGTGTCGGATTGATCGGATTTTTGTCGAAAATTTTATATCGGACAAACCGGAAGAACTTTTTCCAAAAGAATAAAAGAGCATATACGTTGATTTTCAAATGCAAAGACCAATTCAACAGTTACGAATCGTTATCCGCCAGAGAAGCAAGAGTTCAATTATCATTATAAAACGTATTGCATTTATTAAAGAAAGGTTCAAAACTCAACATTTTGGAATTTTCAGAAATCAATGCATGTGAAAATTAAGGACCATTCCTCGATAATCGAATATATTTCAATTGTTCCCCTTTATTGAATTTAGTTTGCAACGAGCAAATTGGTAATCAGGACAGATTTCAAAAGTATAGGATAGCACAGGTACGATGAACGTAAAAATTGTTATTCATTATTCCGCAGTCTCATGAATTGTTCTTAGTTAGGTAAATATTTCAAGTAATGAATTTATCATGTATAAATTTTGCAGGTAGTAATATTCATAATTATTCAGATAACTATAAAAGCACTACACAGAATTTGTACAAACCATTACTGTCACACCCGAAAATGCTATACCTATGCTATCGGATAATTTGAAGACGTGTCGCGGTTTTTCAACTTTCAAGTGTTTTTTGAATACGTCATCATCAAGTATCGGTCAGTTCTAAACTTTAACTATCGTTTTTTCAACTGTGTAAGTAACATTGATTTCATGAAAATATCAAAAGAACGCGGTTTTTCAACTTTCAAGTGTTTTTTGAATACGTCTCATCAAGTATCGGTCAGTTCTATCACATTATAGTTCTTTTGTTATCAAATAATAACTTTTTCATTTTGCTCATGATTTTTTCTAGAAGATCACTCTGACAATGAAAAAATTCGAAGTTTCATGCACCACACTTCTGCTATATACCTTGAATTCATAACTTTTCATATGGGATATTTTTTCGACCGCTTCCCTCCTTTACGTTAAACTTTCAATTGATTCTCGACGAACTGAACTCCAAATGTATTTTCACTGTATATCTTAATGTTTACATTTCACATTTTATATCACCAATTTTACAACGTTCATTAATATATTAGTAAAATCATACTCATGTACAAGGTTATACCTTTTATGAACAACAAACAGATCTATTTGCTGAATCAGATTGAATAATTGTTATAATAATTTCATATATTTTTGATAGCAAATGAAGATGAAAGACTCCATGAAACTATTTCCAATCATAAAAAAATCTAAAAATATTAATTTACAGTGATTACGTAACCAATTTATTTATTATTACTATTAATTTAACCGGTTTAAGTAAATCTGCAAAACATCCATATGTATAACATATAAAAATATTTTTTACGTTTTTCCATGTTTGTCACAAATCAATATTTCCTGATAACCAATATGAATTCAAAAGTATATTCCATAGATATATTCTGATAATTATTCACGGTGAATTATTTCTATTTCTACACAATAATTTGACTGAAAATTCGACTCGTGTATTTTAAATAATGCAGTATAAGTGAATATATTACGATGGGTATAAAACAGGCATAAGTAATATGTTGCATAGAAACTGTTTAATTTAATCTTCGGAGCCCACAAAATATTTTCAGTTTCACGATACACACTGAAAAAAAAATTGAGATTGTCGATGTAACATAAACTCAAGAACAAATTGTAGGGAAACTCCAGTGACATCAATTGCATTTCTTATATAATACTTCTGAAAATCATTCTCGAAAAAATATTTGCGTTTGTGATTTCCAGAACTCGGTCAATAATTCTCGAGAATCGCAGAATTTCATTGTCAATTGCGATTAAAGGAACGCGGATGAGCGGAAAACAAATGATGCAAATCGTATCGAATTAAAACCATAACACCATAAACCTAGTTTTTACGACCTTTGTAGCGTAGCACATGGTACTGACAAAATTCCCTACGGTATTGAATTTCTTACGCTTGCAAAAATTCAGGATTCGAGAGAGTGAAGTGGGGGGGATTCATTGATAAACCCACCTCTTAGGACACACCTCTTAAATAGTAAGTTTAGAGGTATCGCTTAACGTTGTCCAGTTTAAAGTCTGACAGACGTGCTGTCGGTGATCAAGCAAGCTCTGTTTCTATTTACAAACAATCGCGAGTGTACGCGCCAACTGTGTGAAAGTATTAGTTTAATTTTTTGAGGTGCCATCCGAAATGCATCCAACGGGAATGTTAGACCGCGATCAGAGGACTGCTAAAATTCCCCTGTTCCTTAGTGATAAGCAAGTGCCAAAAACAAATAGTTTTCGGGACAGTACTGAAAATTCCAGTTCCACTTCGAACCGTAGCAGTATTATTAGCAGTACGAAAACGAGTACAAGATTTCTATACTTAAATTGGAGAAAAGGATACTTAATACACAGTTTTCAACGTAAGTAATATAACATTTCTTCGAATTTCATCAGGTGATGACACTGCATCTTAAAATTGTTATCTCACATTACTGTAATGAATTTTTCGTAAGTCATCGTGACACCTGTTCTGCGATAAGATAACGATATGCTGTAATCCTGAATCTCTCGTCGAAATTGTGTGAAAATCCAAGTTGGCCAAGAGGTTCCCGTCAGATCTCTTACGCTGAGGGGCGGGGCGAGTGCAACAGGTAGCCAATCAGGCGGTGTTCCCCTCTGTCGGAATTCACAATTTCTCGATAGCGCTCACTTTATATCGAAAACAGCAGGTTGTTCTCCGTATTTGAGATTCCTTTGGCCAAATTCTGTTATGGTACGTAACGTGTGCTATGTCGAATACCCGCGAATTGGAGCAGGATGATTCATAGCGCTTACCTATGAACTTGAAATTAAAGCGAAACGGTGAGCGGGGAAATTTTATGAGTCAGAGCATTGTGTTTAATGACTGATTAGGGGTTATCGGCTTGTCGACGAGAGGGGTAGTGGAATCTCTTTAAAGATGCTTTGATTATTGACAGGTGATCAAGTTATAATTATCAATGAGGCACATGCCACAGACATTGAAGATACGATAAGATTTTTGATAGTTTTTATTATCATTACGTGTAGAGATTCTCATATATGTTATATGAGTTATAACATATATTTACAAAGCAGAGATAAATAGAATATTTGAAGTATATCAGGTTGAATGAATGTACAAGTTGAATTTCGTTTGTGAAATGTTATATTAAAATTGTCACGATTTGAATTGGTTAAAAAAATAAGTTCCAGAATCATAAATATTCTTTTTTTAATTTTAATCTAACAGAAATATTTCAAAAAGCTAACCGTAGAAGAAAGTTTATCACAGAGTGTTTTGAAATTAGGATAAAAATATATACATGTCATTTAAGAAATCAAAGACATCACCACTGACATAATGAAGATTCAAGTTGAACGTCACGATTTTCTTCATACGTATTCCAAAAACACTTTATTGTGAGATTTTCACTAAATTGTTTTACAAAAACGCAACACGTGTTTCGCCATACAATGGCTTCATCTGGCGTGTCTTTCAACTCATTGAAAATACATTGAAAATACATTGTGAAAAATAATAATCATGGTGATGAACAGAAATGAGAAAAAAGTTGATCATTTTTATTTGCATGGCAATTTTAAAAAAGATCATTGGGAAGAATAGTGAGCTTCAACATTTATGATTTACCTAAAGCAGTACATTTATATGACGTAGGTACCTCCTTCCGATTTTTATTGTTGCATGCAGTAAATGATTGACAGCTTCTCAATTATAAAACAATTACCTGAAACTAATGACTTGCATAATCAAGTCAAAAACAATTCACGGGGTATTTCCCAGCAAATCTCATATAAACATTTTCGATGAGGATGAAACTGTTTTAAATTTTTTTATATTTCTCGTCTTGATCCGTTAATACCTTTATATAATTTCATTGACCTTGCCTGGCGTGATTCATTCGTAGTCTGGAATAGTTTTTTGGTTGTTATGTAATATTACTACACACGCCATTTCAGACAATTTAATTGTCACTATAAAGATCACAAACACTTTGTACCTGTTATTTCAAATTATGCAAATTTTGAGGTTGTTTGCTTGTACAGCCTCGTTCACTTTGATACCGATATTATGGTGACTTTGAATTTGTTTAACCAAAGAGTTCATTCATATCTGAATAGAGGGAACAATCAGGATAAATTTCAAATAGTCACCTTTGTCATCAACTTCTCATGATGTTAATAAAAACCGAAACATCGATTGTTATAAGATATTTTATAATGTGATGTATGTAATATTTGAAGGCTTGTTTATAGTTTCTAAAATTGAAGTATTTAGGAAGTCTACGACTTTAATTTTCAGTTAATTTGATAGAATATGTCTCTGCCAACAATATCTTTTAGATATTATTGCATTTTTGCCCAATGCTGAACTAAGTAGGTATTGTTGTAATTCAAAGAGATTATTATACGGTTTATGGTTCTATCATAAGTTTTAAGATCTACTTATATCTCCTGAAATTCATTTTCGTTGATTATTCGATATTGAGTAGATACTTCAGCTGGATATGCGTATTCTCTTGTAATCTGTGAAGAATGGGTATGGGATTTAGTTTGCGAACGCTTAAAGTCAGTACAAATCCAAGTAAACGAAGAATCCGCTACACAATCGTTAAACCAGTTTTTTTCCTCAGAAAACACTGTTAATCCTTGGTTAGTTGGGTACTTTCGATAAAAAGCCAATAATTAAATTAACCATTACATTGCTGTCTCCGTATTAGTTGTCTCAAAATGATTTTTATTTTATAAATTGTCAGTTGGTACACCTGTGTTGCTCTGCCGACTTCAGCCGTTTTTCTTACAATTATAATTTTACAAAAATGCGGTAAATAGTTGAGAATGATACATTGAAGTGAAATAGCTTGCAATTATCAGCTATTACTGTCGATTAACGAATCTTATGCTCATAGTTCATTGTAGCTGCACTTAACAATAAATAGATCAAGTTACCTACACCTGGGTTGGTAACTGATCTTTATATACTGTTTTCTTTCATTATTTAGACGTAGGTATGTACTTAAAGACAACTCACATTATTAGCAATTTCTGTGGAATTCCATCTGCCATTACCTCCGAGTGTAAGTATGAATCTTAATTTTGTATCGCGGTTCATTATTGTCGAGACTTCAACGATATAGTCCAGTTGTCGTTTTTATAAAAATTCTTTTGAGACTCTGCGTGCCCAATAACAGATCTATTGTTTGAGCTTTGGACTGTACGGTTCGTTTACAAGTTTAGACTTGAAAACTGTTCCGGAACCAGTTTATTTGCAACAGCGAATGAATCGACTGAATGTTATGTATAGCCATTCACCTTCAGATTTGTTCAATACTTATGTATTTGGAGATTGCATAGGTATTCAGTAACGTTTCTCTCATCTTATTCTTGATTCAGATACATAATCACTTCCTGTCAGTCTTGATTTATCGGTTTTTTCTCCTCTGAAATCAAAAAACTTTTGAAAATGAATCGTTCATAAATGAAACTAAGTTTATGTGAAATTCAAATACGTATTTATTCGACTTCCAAAAATCTCTATTTATAATATTTCTAGACAAAAAAAAAACTAATTTCAAATGAATCAGATAACATTTCGGCAACTACCTCTTTTTCCTATATCAATCCTTCTGAAAATGGCACTCAAAACTGAAAAAAAAACAATTCATTGTACTTCCGCAATATTCGTTGTAGTAACATGATATGGAAGATATATTTGTTGTCACTGAATGTTACATTGTAAAATGAATAACTTAGGTAGATTCTCTTTGAGATTGGGAAAAACAAGAATTACATCCGTTTCAAATTACCTGCCAATTATTATAATTCCAACAGCGATTCAATATTTACTAATCTGTGTAACGTAGGTATTCAGTGAGTTTTCCTAACCTTTTGGGCTGTAATGATTTAAGTACCTACTATGTTCGCAGCCAGTTCTTCAGTCTGTAAGATACATTTATAGGGTACCTACAAAGATAATCCTTCTATCAACTTGTAGTTAAGTTTGACCTTTTGTACCTAAGTGAAAATCCATAGTCAGTTCACTCCTTTAACTGAAGTGCCAAATAATGTATATGAAGAGAACTTATATCAAATGAATTGACTGATGCAGCTTTCAAAGAAATTCTTATATACCGACATATCCATGAATGATATGAGAATATAGTAAACACTAAAATTACGTGGTAACAACGAAGTGTTCTTTGACAGGGGTAGTTTTCCGTGTATAGTGTGTGCGTGTGTGAAGTGTTCAAATGGCGTTGGTATAACCAGTTTGCCAGCTATTTTAATATGTAAAATTTCTATAATATTTTTCAAGATGTATAGTACACTATTCCCTATTTCTAAAGGTTAGTCTCAATATGTTGTTTTTCTCTTCCTTTCTTTTTCTCTTAATGTTTTATTAATGTTTATCCATTTTATTTGTTCTTATTCTTTCGTTTTTTGTAATTTCTTGTTGAATGAATACACATTTTTTTCTCTTCTTGTTCTCGTTTTTTTTATTCTTCTTTATTTCCCTCTTTTTTCTATTTTCTTCTTTCTATTTTTCTTATCTTCACATCACACTCAAAATTCAATCCACCTTCCACTTTCACTGATATTTTTAGAATACTTCCCATCTCTAAATCATAATCATTGTTTATTTTTCGAGTGCAACAACATCAATCGGTAGAAATATGTGCACACGTTTGGAAACGAATCAGGAAAAAATGAATACGTTCGAAATTTCATGATTTTTGGAAATTTTTGAAAAATTATAAATACGTGTCAAAAATATTGGTGTTCTGAACGGTTATCGAGAGTTTCGAGTTCTATTTCTTTCAATTGCTTGAACAGATCCAGTGGATTTAGCTGTAAAAACTTCACTTTCGTGCATTGATGAACACAATCAAACTAACACTGGGAACATGAACATTAATTCAACACCAAAATGAAATTGGATCTACATTGAGAGTGATTTAGATCCCATTGCATGCAACATACATTAAGAAATATATACGTATGAGTAGATATTCGTTTTGACCACTTGTTCATACAAATTAGGATGGACATTTATTTTTTCAGAATGCAAACTAGACTTAAAATCATTCAATTCAGCATGAGTACATATTAGAACTTTCGGAACACACTCTTAATTGTCCCCGAAAATGGTACAAAATGGCAAAAAGATAACATTCAAATTAAACGTTGAAAATTAATGAGCTTCTATTATAAATTCAATTCAATGCATACTGAATGAAGCGAAATGAGTGAAATCAATATTTTATCTTTTTTAGTGGTAATTTGTTCGTAATTCCTTTTTCAAACCGAACACGTCAGTCTACAGACGATATTTCTTCAGCGTCCACCGAAAATAAATGACCTGCTGAAACTGTCTCTACTGACCCTATATGACTTTGAAGATTTCTCACGGTCCCACATTATGTGTCCACAATCTTGTATATTTATATAGCCTGTGTCGTTCTACCATCTCCAAATGGCTTTGCCGGCTCGAATATTATAGTGTTGCACAGCGTCTTTTATGAATATTATGACTAACTTGTCGTTAAATGAATTTTTGAGGCTTTGAAATTTATTTTGACGACTAATTTTTTCGACGATTATGTCTGTTTTTGATTATCACCGACTGTAGGTTTAATGCTTAGAAAATACCTATTTTGGTTTCCTATTTTGGTTTCCTATTTTCTAGTTTAGTATATAAATAACTGATAACTTCAAAGATAAATAGAAAATTCAACAATTGTTTGAATAGTTATTCGAAATGAATGATTGATATAAAATTTCACTTGCAAAATTTTTGCATAGCATCAGAAATCCCTTCAAATATTTGTTCATTTTCTATTGGTGATATAATAAAAAAAATTCTATCTAATGTTTTCGACTCATCTACAGAAATACACATTTTTATTGATACAAGCATACGTATTTTCATCAACTCAGAGAAAATGGTCTGATTTAGGATGTTTTATATATCAACAAATATTTGAAGCACAAAAAATGTATATATACATCTCAGAAACAAAGGTCATTTAGATGACTATCATATATACCTAATTGACCACCTACCAACCTAATCGTATTGTGATCTATGTCTGGTTCTGAGGAAAAAATGATAAATTTAAACATTTTCGCTCGTCATATCTGTGGCTGGTTTCTATTGCAATATTTATAATTCATATATGAAATTTCACATGATATTGGAACTTGAAGTAATTGAAACTTTCATTTTCATTTCAGGTCTCAAAAACGTCCTATTAGTATTAGTCTACCTCACCTTGATAACCCTGCCATCTTCTAGTTCAGCCCCGTTGAGTATGGATCGTAAACAAAATCCTAGATGGGTCAATCCCTGTGGTATGCCTGAGGACACAACGGATTCAATTTCCAAACTGAATGCTAGCGAGAAAAGGGAATTGCTGTTGCAGATCTCAAAGCAGGCTGGAATTGCTCTCAGACATGCAGAGGCTTTCAAAGAAAATTTCGTAAGTACCTTTGTCAAATAAACTATTTGAAGATTCAAATACGAAAGTTTAATGTCTCCCTTTCAAAAAACATTCACACTACGTTTTCTATATGTGATGGAATATACACTACGTTTTCTGGTCCTTTTTTTCATTTATATATCACAAAATCTGATTTTTCATTCGGAATTTCCATTCGGATCTGATTTTTTGCAATCTAAAACTCTCAACTATGTTTTCTGTTCCTTCTTCTCAGTTTCATAATACCTTTACTAACAGATCCTTCTTTTCTAGAACTCTCGTTTTTATTCTTTTCAACTGACAAGTTGTCAATGGAAATAAATTTTTTTTATCCACGCTGGAAATATTTTCAAACCAATTGTATTTTCTCATTAGTCTTTCGAATTAGTCTCAAGATTTGAGTTACTTTGTGTATTTCATTCAGCATTCTAGCTAGATATACACACAAATCTTCATTTTTTTTTGATTTGACAAAATGAAGCTACACGTCACATATTATGTTTTTTTGAGTTCATTCGTAGTCTCCGTTTTATCTGTTTTTTTACCAAATTTATTTGACTTTCGACAAATTATTTTTTTGAATGCCTTCTATTACATTCATTCCAATGTGCTGTAAACCTAACAATCCCGTTAGTAACCGGAAAAGATGTTTACAAATTAATAGGAGGTAATATCAGTACTGAAAAAAAAATTGTCCTCAAAATAGGTACTGAGAACTTTTTCTGGATTTCATTGAGTTCGAAGGTCCCCCTTGGAAAAACTCAACTGACAGATAAAGCAATAGGTACTCCATTTTCTGTAAAACATAACACTCAAACTCCACCACCGAAATTCATTAAAATAATAAAGCGCAATTATTGAATAATGAATCGAATGAAAAACCTGATTTCTGTCATTGCTTCAATTTTTTTACATGGTTTCCCTTGATATTTCCAACACCTTTTCCAAACATATATCCAAGTTCTTGACTGAAGTGGAAGAAAATATATTTTTGAAGATATATTTGTTTCAATCAGTTGGGATATTGATCTCAGTTCTCAATTCACCCACATATTTTTCCTCTAGTTCTATTTTCTATAAAACTCCCACAGGGAGGTAACGTACAAAAATAATTACCTATTTCATCTTCGAACCGAAATAATTGCTAGCAAAGGAAGTATATTATTGTCCCAATGAATTGCACTGACTTCCTCTTCAGCGAATCGATAAGTTTCGAAGCGTCAATAGTCACTTTAATGACACCAGAATGTGACAGTAGCGTACGCAATCACGAATGCAAGTAAAAAATCTTCGTCTAGACACTGCTTCGAAGAATATGAATAATAAATTCTCCTTCGTTTCCAGAAGAGAACCGTTTGAAACGTGAATGAAGATCATAATCAAGTTTGCCGTTTCCAGAATGTCTGGTGCTACTGACACTAAAACGTATTTTACGCATTTCAATTGCATTTTGATTTTTTTGATTGAAAATTGCAGAATTAGTAAAAAAATATCCTGAATATCATCCTCTTTAGAGTTTCGTATCTAGTGCAGTTTTAGATGCATTTCGAATTTATAAAATGTTTTTAGATTATCCTTAAAAAAGGCGGTACCAATGAATCAAATTACCTGGCATTCATGATGAACCAGTGAAATTCACGATAATTTTTTTTGCAAAACGCAAATGTACGTATATGTAGAATTCAACTCGGTAAATATCAGAAAAATCATATTCATTGATTTTAACTCATAATCAATTGATCGAGTTGCAGTAATCTAGATCGTTAATTGTCATATTAATTTTTATAATTTACGTACTCCTATTCTTTTGATAGTGAAATTCATCATAACCATTTCAAATATAACGAACAAAATATAAATCCTGAATCGTTTAAATCAATTTATGGAAAATATTGAACAAAATCCACGAACTCTCTATAATTTTCCAAATAATCCAGTTTTCCCCTCTAGAAAAACTCGTCGTACCCCAATGGCGAATGACACCTTTTGCCGGATGTAGGGAAGACGTAAGTTATTTATATCCGATAGAAAAAGACAATACCAGCGTGGAATTCAATCAAAGAAAGAAACAAAAAATATGATAGTGTGTAATCAGACATCAAGTGGCTGTACAATATTCTACCGATAGAGAATACAAATCGGTGAACGTAGTAGTTTCAACTGAATGAATGAAATAGTTGTGGAACTGAATTGACGGAATTATTCAAGAAAATTCTCCTGATCGTGTCTGGATACCTTTCGAAACGTTCGCTACATTGAAACAAAATCAATGGGAATGCAAACACTGTCAACACTAAATTTGTTGCATTCAGAAAAAATTGAAACATCTTATGACAAGGCAAAAAGATATTCCGCAAATGGAGATGAGTTCGGTGAAGATTAGTCTCAATTTCATCCAATTTCCTTATTTTTTCAACAGTATTTGTTTTAAACTGTCAAGTTGTAGCTTCTCTGAATGAGTCATCTCAAGATATTTCGATGAAAAAGTATGTTCCCTCAGTTAACGATATTCATCAAAACATTACATGGCGTTTCTCATGCGTCCAACTAAAATGCTTATGTGAAAACGCAAAGTTTTATGTTATCACATCGTATCTCAAAACAATTGTATTGGAGTGTCGGAGTATTCGCTTTCATAGCCACCTGTTGCAGATCACGCTACTATTTCCTCTAACATTCCGCGAAATTTATGCTCTGGAGAATTTTCATGCCTGAATGATTTCGAAAACTGGATGATGCAAAAGTTTTTCGAATCCACTATCTGTTCAATCTGTCTTCTGCGAAATGCTTTAAACCTTCCTGCACGCACTGATTTGACTTTACTAGAAGTGATGGATAGAATCGTTTTATAGAAATGGCACATTGAAATAGACAAATACACTATTTTGATTGAAATTAATCTACATGATAATCAGATCGTGATATTTCCTTTAATTTGTAGTAGAAGTAATCTGAAGTTGAAAAGAAAATCTCTAATTCTCCTTAAAATTATTTAGGTAACTTGAAAAAATTAGCTTGTTTGTACGAAATTCTCTTGAGTACGGAATCACTAAATATTTTATTGTTCAGAATCGTTGAAACTATTTCTAGGAATAATCGGTAATATTCTGAGAGGACCTTATCAATAATAACGACCTCAGGCCGACGATAAAAATAAGCTTGTACAACATATATCAGCCAGACATGTTTATAAAGATGCTTGCAACTGCATCAATTTATCTACAGACACTTTATCGACTTCTGTAATGAAGAATAAATCTTTAGATCTACATAAGATAGGAAATCAGCTGGTATGTAGTAGCAACCTTTTCTTTTGAATTGGTGAAACAGAGTAAAAAACACACCGACTTCGTTTATCTTTGATTAGTCAAATGGAAAGATTCCACTTCATTGGCATAAAATGATGGAACGACACAAGATCTTTATTTCATATCATCACTAAAGCTTTATTCCAAATTGAACTCATTTTGTTAAAATATGGTTATATGTACAGCTACCTCTCATGGCCGGTGAGAAGCCCCCCCCCCTCAAGATGTGCAGTAGATGTGTAGAAATCTGTTATCAGTCTGTTAGGTTATTCGAGCCGTACTACGTAAAATTGCAAACAAAAGTTTCTATTCCTTCTTTCCCAATACTTTCTTTCCGTGTTAGGAATCACACGTTAGAAGGTAAGACCTCGTTAGTCCTTAGCTCGCACAAGTTTCTCAACTTCTGAGAGTTGTCGTTCGTATGGGGCGACAGCTGATTAACGGAAAAACAGATTTCATTCACCGACCCAAACGTAACGCAGATACGATTTCTTCCACCGGTCATGACAGTCCATATAGTACCTATTAGGATCATGAAATAAATATGTTATTTATTCAATACTTTTTTTGTAGTCTACCGAGGTTACATCAAATTTATCATTGAATAGTTTTTCTATGATACCTCTTGTACAAAGGATATTTTCTTTATGAAAATTAGACACATTCTGTTTTATTTCCAATTATGTGCATGAACATTATTTCAACAGGTACACCAGTCTGTATCTCAAGTAAGTAATTTTTTGAATCGAACCTTCATCATTAGGATCAACACCTGAATACATATTTATAGTTTAAAAAATCTGTTTAAAATCTGTTTTTCCGTTAACCAGCTGTCGCACCCCTATGAACGACAACCCTCAGAAGTCGAAACTTGTGCGAGCTAAGGACTAACAAGGTCTTACCTTTCAACGTGTGATTCCTAAAGCGTTAGTCTAAGAAAATAGACGAATACAGTGAGAATAGTTAAAAAATATCAGGTTTGAAACCTTTCAATTCCTCTGAGACTTCATAACGTCAAAACTTTCAATAAGACATGAATTTATGAATGGTAAGTGTGGTAAATTCGAATACCACCTGCCACTGGTGAGCATTGTACAAGAAACTAAATGTTATTTTCTTTTCGTGTTTTTTCTTTTGTTGGAGTTTTTCAGAATTCGAGGTCGATTTTTCGTGATTCAATAAAATGTAACTGAAGTGTCTGCGTCTTATTTAACATATTAAATATTATTATTACACAAAACCCTGACAACTGGCGACGAGGAAAACATTTTCATGAAGAGTGGTTTCTGAATCAAGATGGCACACGACAGAATAAATGAATTCCAAATCAGATCGAGCTGGAAAACATACGTGGCTCGCTTAAAACAATATTTCATAGCAAATGGTATTCCCGACGAACTAAAGGTAGGCTACCTTAATCACAGTCGTTGGGGATACTACCTACGAATTAATGGTGGATTTGTGTAGCCCCGATGCCCCAGAAGACAAATCTTACGAAACCCTTGTTAAAATTGTGAAAAATCCTCTGGAACCGTATCCTTCCGTCATCACAGAAAGACACAAATTTCGGTTGAAACGACAAGACGGGTGGGAAACAGTGGCAGAATATATTGCGGCTCTCAAAAATATGGCAAAAACATGTGGTTTTAAAGACTCCTTAGAAGAAAATTTACGAGATCAGTTCTTTTCCGG